AATAATAATATATCAATAAATAGATACTGGGTATAATAATAATATATCAATAAATAGATACCGGGTATAATAATAATAATAATATATCAATAAATAGATACTGGGTATAATAATAATATATCAATAAATAGATACCGGGTATAATAATAATAATAATATATCAATAAATAGATACTGGGTATAATAATAATATATCAATAAATAGATACCGGGTATAATAATAATAATAATATATCAATAAATAGATACTGGGTATAATAATAATATATCAATAAATAGATACTGGGTATAATAATAATAATAATAAATAGATACTGGGTATAATAATAATATATCAATAAATAGATACCGGGTATAATAATAATAATAATAATATATCAATAAATAGATACTGGGTATAATAATAATAATAATATATCAATAAATAGATACCGGGTATTATAATAATAATAAATAGATACTGGGTATAATAATAATATATCAATAAATATTACCGGGTATAATAATAATAATAATAATAATATATCAATAAATAGATACTGGGTATAATAATAATAATATATCAATAAATAGATACCGGGTATAATATATCAATAAATAGATACCGGGTATAATAATAATAATAATATATCAATAAATAGATACTGGGTATAATATATCAATAAATAGATACCGGGTATAATAATAATATATCAATAAATAGATACTGGGTATAATAATAATAATATATCAATAAATAGATACTGGGTATAATAATAATAATAACATATCAATAAATAGATACTGGGTATAATAATAATAATAATAATATATCAATAAATAGATACCGGGTATAATAATAATAATAATAATAATATATCAATAAATAGATACCGGGTATAATAATAATAATATATCAATAAATAGATACCGGGTATAATAATAATAATAATATATCAATAAATAGGTACTGGGTATTATAATAATAATATATCAATAATTGGATACTGGGTATCACTCTGTATAATAATAATAATATTATATCAATAAATAGATACTGTGTATATTTATCTTTTATTTACAGAACTACAGTGGTCACAGACCAAAGCCCATTCTGCAAGCATCTGACTGAATGAATAAAAATGAACAAGCACAGGAATCTAATGACTGAAAAGATCTTGGATCTCACCCTGGAGATCATCTACCTGCTGACTGGAGAGGTGAGGGATTCTGGGTAATGTCAGTATGGAGATCATCTACCTGCTGACTGGAGAGGTGAGGGATTCTGGGTAATGTCACCATGGAGATCATCTACCTGCTGGCTGGAGAGGTGAGGGATTCTGGGTAATGTCAGCATGGAGATCATCTACCTGCTGGCTGGAGAGGTGAGGGATTCTGGGTAATGTCAGCATGGAGATCATCTACCTGCTGACTGGAGAGGTGAGGGATTCTGGGTAATGTCAGTATGGAGATCATCTACCTGCTGACTGGAGAGGTGAGGGATTCTGGGTAATGTCACCATGTAGATCATCTACCTGCTGACTGGAGAGGTGAGGGATTCTGGGTAATGTCATTATGGACATCATCTACCTGCTGGCTGGAGAGGTGAGGGATTCTGGGTAATGTCAGTATGGAGATCATCTACCTGCTGACTGGAGAGGTGAGGGATTCTGGGTAATGTCATTATGGAGATCATCTACCTGCTGGCTGGAGAGGTGAAGGATTCTGGGTAATGTCATTATGGAGATCATCTACCTGCTGACTGGAGAGGTGAGGGATTCTGGGTAATGTCAGTATGGAGATCATCTACCTGCTGACTGGAGAGGTGAGGGATTCTGGGTAATGTCACCATGGAGATCATCTACCTGCTGACTGGGGAGGTGAGGGATTCTGGGTAATGTCATTATGGAGATCATCTACCTGCTGACTGGAGAGGTGAGGGATTCTGGGTAATGTCACCATGGAGATCATCTACCTGCTGACTGGAGAGGTGAGGGATTCTGGGTAATGTCAGTATGGAGATCATCTACCTGCTGGCTGGAGAGGTGAGGGATTCTGGGTAATGTCATTATGGAGATCATCTACCTGCTGGCTGGAGAGGTGAGGGATTCTGGGTAATGTCATTATGGAGATCATCTACCTGCTGGCTGGAGAGGTGAGGGATTCTGGGTAATGTCATTATGGAGATCATCTACCTGCTGACTGGAGAGGTGAGGGATTCTGGGTAATGTCAGTGGAGATCATCTACCTGCTGACTGGAGAGGTGAGGGATTCTGGGTAATGTCATTATGGAGATCATCTACCTGCTGACTGGAGAGGTGAGGGATTCTGGGTAATGTCAGTATGGAGATCATCTACCTGCTGACTGGAGAGGTGAGGGATTCTGGGTAATGTCATTATGGAGATCATCTACCTGCTGGCTGGAGAGGTGAGGGATTCTGGGTAATGTCAGTAAGGAGATCATCTACCTGCTGGCTGGAGAGGTGAGGGATTCTGTGAATTCCAATCACTTTACACTAAGCACATGTTATAAAACAGAGCTCAAAATTTCTATTAGCCATTAGTCACTGATGAGTAGATATTCACCCTTGGTGAGTGTGACATGGACTCTCTGGTGGTTGGTAACTTTTAAGGGATGGCTACTAGTGTTGGACTTGAAATTTTATAGAAGATAAAAATATCTTAAAGGGAAACTGTTTATATTTTTGTATAAAATATTGAAAACAAATTATAACCTGTGTTATTTTCTTTCATGAGATGCTCAGTTTTCTTTTAAATGTATACTAGAAATTTATCAACTAACATCATAATCCAGTTCAGATGTGTAAAGGTTTGTGCAAACATAGCAAATAAAGAGGAGAAACAGAAGCATTGTTTCCTCTTCTCTGTATGCATGGATACTTTGGACAACAAAGACGGAGGTGTCAATATGCAGGAGATATGGATTTCTATATAATTAGTTTTACTTGTCACACCTTGAATCCTTATATCTGTTAAATATAGGATAGGTCTACATAACATTAGTGCTCCTCTGCAGATTACCTTTTAAACATAATATTAAGATTCCTTGGAAGTGACAGTTTACCTTTAATAAATGTTACTATGGTAGTATTTTGTATATGGTAAATATAGGTCTAATTTAGATGATAAAAAGTGAGACTGTTTATGTAGATTAACACTTCTGGGTACAACAAATATAATGTGTCTGTGTGTGTATATAGGACACTGCATGAGATAAGAACAGAAAAAGTTGAAAAGAACCAACTGTGGAATTACTCGTGTCACAGCAGCTAAAGGTCTAATTGTATTAGTGTTTCTTTCAATATCTAGGATCATGTGGTTGTGAAGAAGCCTTGTGATTCTGTCTCACACACAAGTAATCCACATGTATCAGCAACATCATTTACAACTCAGAATCCAGATGTGATCTGCCTACCTCACTCTCTGATACATGAGAGAAAGAATGACAAGAAGATCCTGGAACTGACCAATAAGATCATCCAACTGCTGACTGGAGAGGTGAGGCTGCAGGGAATGGGACATTATACAGTATAAACCAAGCGATGTGTCTGGATGGTGACTGTATCATTGTGTGTGTCAGGTTCCTATAAGGTGTGAGGACATCGCTGTCTATTTCTCCATGGAGGAGTGGGAGTATCTAGAAGGACACAAGGACCTGTACAGGGACATGATAATGGAGGACCACCAGCCACATAGCCTGGGTAAGAGAAATCAACCTTGTCTTTGTTTATTATACCAGATACAATGTATGCAAACAAATTATGATGTTTTAGACAACAGTTTCTTGATAATTTCTCAGCTATGTCCACAATATGTTATTCTTTTTTTTTCTTCTAGGAGATAAGTCCGTAACTGGTGAATTTCACGCTCCTGTTTATTTTAATAATTTTGGAACCAAAGATAAAACTGAAAATATAACCAAAAATGGAAGAAAATATCTAAAACTCAACAAACCAAAGACCAGAAAAACCTCAGAACTTAAACCAACAAAATATATATCTACTCGTACTAAGAAGACATCAGCCATGTGTGAAGGACATTTTACGCACACTAACATTTATTTACCCACAGAACATATAGAAACAGAATATCCACCTACTTCTATTAAGCAAGAATTTGCTTTACATGAGGATGTAAATCTCCCAAACACTGATATCCATGCTATAACAAAAGATATGCAGACAGAGAATTCACCCACTCATATAAAGGAGGAACCTGCCTTCTGCAAAGCATTAAATCTCACAGATATTCCCAATTATACACGAACAGAGCATACACAGACAGTGGATGCATTTGCTTTTTTTGATAGTTATCTAGAAGACAACAGCCACATGCCAGATATTAGCTATTTCATGCCTCTACCCTATGATACATTTATTAATCAGAAATCTAGTAAATATACACAAAATACTCAGAACTTTGAGGCACTATTTCACTATTCTGAGCACCCAAAAAACTTTATAAACTCAGAGCTCGTCAGACATCTGTCTGCTCCCAGGGTAACCAAAGCAGCCTCTTCTGACACTGGAAAACTCGTTTTTTCTCATTCTGAAATTAGACCTCCAAAAATTCACAAAGGGAAGCAATTTTCATGCAGTGAATGTGGAAAGTGCTTTAACCAAAAGCCTAAACTTAATAGGCATCAGACAATTCACAGAGGAGAAAAACCGTTTAAATGTGAAGAATGTGGAAGATGTTTTAATTTAAAGCATCATCTTATTGCACATCGCAAGATTCACACAGGAGAAAAACCATTTCGTTGCACTGAATGTGGGAAATGTTTTAGCCGAGCAGCACAGCTTGTGTCCCATAAACGAATCCATACAGGTGAAAAACCGTTTGTATGCACTGAATGTGGAGAATGTTTCATCAGGCCTGCACAACTTGTTTCACATAAGTGGATTCACACAGGAGAAAAACCATTTAAATGTGACGAATGTGGTAAATGTTTTAACTTCAAGCATAATCTTATGGCACATCAGAAGATTCACACAGGAGAAAAACCATTTAAATGTAATGAATGTGGAAAATGTTTTTCCCGAGCAACACATCTTGCATCACATAAAAGGATTCACACAGGAGAGAAACCATTTAAATGCAATGAATGTGGCATATGTTTTACCTGGGCTGCACAGCTTGCGTCACATAAAATAATTCATGCTGAATTTAAAAACATTCCATTCTGAGTGTGACAAACGTAACAAAAGTTGGTTATTGATCACACAGAATCAGCTGACAGCTGTATTGGTTACCAACTTATGGGACAGAAGAAACCAGTGTATAGATCCCTATGCAAGGGTTGCAAAAGATAATTTCTTGCCTACCTCAAACCTGTGATGACTTTTGTTCTATTATCTTAATACTTTATCAAAATATATTTTCTACCCAAGCTGTCTATCTTTGTGGCAAAGCACAGTTTTATACTGGATCATTGAAAGTAAAAGAAAAATGATATATATGTATGTGTATATCTAGCTATCTATATGTACACACACACCAAGAAAGCTTTACTCACATGACCTCAGAAATAATATTTGCTGCTTTTTAGTGCGGTAATATATACCAAAGTTTTGTGTCGACGTATCAGTTTGAAACGTTGCCACGACATTTTGGTGTATATTACTGCACAATAAAGCAGCAAATATTTACTAAGTCCTGTGAATGCACCTTTCTTGGTTCGTATTGCATGTATATATGTATGTATGTATATATTAAAACTGGTCTTCTGTTTTAACGGTAATCCCCAAGAAAGTGGTGGCTTCCATTGTGAATAAAATGCTGCTGGTCTAAGATATCTTATTAACAAGAGTCATCTTTATTTGGATGAATAAGATGAGTTGTCCTACAGAACTTGTGTGGTGCCTGAGGCTGTGATACATAGTGGCCTGCAATGCACCTGACTTTCCTTCTGTCTCCTGGTTTAGTGAGATGGAGAGGTAGTGATAGTCTCATGGCGGTAGTGATAGATTCACGGGGGTAGTGATAGTCTCATGGGGGTAGTGATAGATTCACGGGGGTAGTGATAGATTCACGGGGTTGTAATTTCAGTGAAATTCCAAAACAGTCAATGGGGGGAGTGACAGAGACGCTTTAACTACCAATTATGAGTTTTATGGTAATAAAATAAACCTTAATGGCAGCTAAAAGTTGAATGCTCTGTTTTGTGGGGTTTGTTGCCAACATCAAGAAAACTAGTCATTCTCATGGGGTATTTAGGGACAATATTAACTGTCAGATTTTACTTTAATAGGCACCAAAACCTGCTGCAAGGGATAGCACTCACTGGTATACAGTGTAATAAGCCATTTGCACTCAAAGCCATGTCAAATGATACATATTGCATAACTGGAAATTAATGATTGTGAAAATATCAGATTCATTCAGAGTCAGTTCACTTACATTCTGCTCTTAATTTTTTTTTCTTTAATTTGAAGCACATAATTCACATTACTTCCACAAAGCCTACACCAGAATTTACACATTTCAAATCCCACGTGTATAATCTACACAAAAGCGAATTTCCTGCAGCAACAAAAAAAAAAAGATTTCTAACTAGTATAATCTGAATTAAACAGGTAAAACAAACAACCCATTACACTTAACCTCCTCCAACCTGTATTCATTGCACTCCATTTAGATTACACCAGCAGGAGTCTGCACACTGAGTACCTCCCTCGCCTGAGTTTCCCTTCCCTTCTGGGTTCAAGATCTATTATCGGTTTCACGTTTTCATTTCACATTACATTAATTTCCTGGGTATCTATCCCACTGGTTTGCCAATGGTTGTGTTTCAGTCTATGTTCCCTTTTCTTCTGGGTTGTTGTCTGTAACAGGGAGATGGAATTAGTTCACATAAGTTGCATTGCTTATTCTGAGTGATCAGTAGCGTTATAATCTGTGTAGTCACACACCCAGACCTTACGGTTCCACCTGCAATCACTCCAATTGACTTGATAACCTCTTACTCTGGGAACATAAATGGTGCAGATAACTCATTTCAGAAATGTGCAACATCAAGAAATTCTGAATTATAAATAAAGATATTCATATTTTCAGTAGCTGCCTTTCAAGGAACACTATAGTGTCAGGAATAAAAACATGTATTCCTGACACTATAGTGTTAAAAACCACAGTTTAGGTTTATGAACCCTTTTGCCTTCAATTTAAAAGGTATTTTACTTTTACCTTTTTTCCAGCACTGTGCCACTCTCTCCGCAACTATCTTTGCCTTGTCCCAACTCTCTGGCTGAGGTCATCAAATTTGACTATCTCAGCCAATCCAATACTTTTTTTAATAGGAAAGCATTGGAAAGTTTTTGCACATGATCAACAAGACACTGCACTGAACCAATCAGCATCTCCTCATGGAGGTGTATTGAATCAATAGATATATTGGGGGTTGGGCACTAAAATGGTAGATGAAATTTAACATAGAGAAATGCAAAGTTATGCACTTCGGGGTCAAGAATGCACATGCAACTTACACCCTTAATTGTAGTGAATTAGGGATAACCACACACGAGAAGGATTTGGGAATTGTTATAGACAACAAATTAGGCAGCAATGTGCAATGTCAAGCAGCAGTTGCTAAGGCCAGTAAGATTTTGTCATGTATAAATAGGAGCATAAATTCTCAGGATGAAAATATAATCTTGCCTCTTTATAAATCGCTGGTAAGACTACACCTTGAATATGCTGTGCCATTTTGGGCACCTGTTCTAAAGAAGGATATCATGGCACTAGAAAAAGTGCAGAGACGAGCTACAAAATTAATAAAAGGAATGGAGCATTTTAGTTACAAAGACAGGTTAAAAATTAATTTTTAGTTTGGAAAAACGACGACTCAGAGGGGATAACTTTATACAAATATATCTGGGGCCAGTACAAACCATTATCTGGAAATCTATTCATAAACAGGGCTATACATAGGACACAAGGTCACACATTTAGGCTGGAAGAAAGGAGATTTCATCTAAGGCAAAGAAAAGGTTTTTGTACAGTAAGAGCAATAAGGATATGGAATTCTCTGCCTGAAGAGGTGGTTTTGTCAGAGTCCATACAGATGTTTAAACTGAAATTGGATAAATACTTGCAAAAACATAATATACAGGGATATAATTTCTCAGTGGGGTAATAGCTGCTTGATCCAAGGAGACATCTGACTGCTATTTTGGGGTCAAGAAGGAATTTTTTTCCTAGTTTGTTGCAAATTGCTTCAGACTAGGTTTTTTGCCTTATGTAATGCGTCTGTGTGGAGAGCGTTCAGTGTCTCCATGCAGAGAATGGAGACACTTAACATCAGTGCTGAATGTGGAGACACTGTGCAGCCCTGATCCAGTAAGCACCTCTAGTGGCTGTCTGAATGACTGCCACCAGAGGTGTTACTAGGCAGTAATGTCATTATCTGAAAAGGCAGTGTTTACAATAAAAAGCCTGCAGGGACAGGCTGTAGAAACCAAAACGATTACAATAAGCTGTAGTGGTTCTGGTGACTATAGTGTCCATTTAAAGTAAATTCCCAGCAATTAGAACTGTTCAGACAAGGAAATGATCAGCCAGTCAGGATAACATACTTTTCTATGGCATTTTTACTAAGATACTCTCTAAGCACCATAGCACCCTCACAATGTAAGAAGTCAAACAGTTTTAGAATCCTTTGACTTCTTATCTAACAAACTCAATGTTTACGTGATCAGCCCCACCACCTACATATACAAGCATGAGGAAAATGTAGACACGCACCCCTCAACAATTCAGGGGATGATCTTCATATACATATAAAAGGAAACACAAAAATGAAAACACAATATTGCAAATGTAGGTATATTGATGGAATTTATATAAAATTCATATTCGTTAGACCCTTTTAGCGATATAGGCTCTAAACAGAAGCACTTCTTGGCCTTTAAAGGTGGCAACCTTCTGAAGTGAAGCAATCATACGGTACTTCTCTACAATGGATATATGCAAATGAGAAAGTAACACAATATCTTGAGAAAGACACGCTGAGGGTCGAAATGTCAATTTGATGCAGATGTAAATTTTTTTCACATTAAACCACTAATTCATCTATAAGCACTGTGAGTGTATTTTATTTGTATATATTTATATATAAAAAAAAATAAGGAAGTGATTCATAATCCTCAATGTCCCTACAATTGGGCGGTCTAAAGCTACAGTGTGGATATAAACAAGAAAATTCTTGACTTGGAAATAGAACATGTTGTATTATTGACTGTAGCGGACCAGGGGCAACCCGCCTGGTTACCTCCGCTAATTCCCTTCCTTCAGCCGCTCAGGAACCATTTAAAGTACAAGGAGATCCATTTACCCTTAAGTAAACGGATGACACACACAGTCCTGGAGGTACAACACAATTTTATTGGCCACACACACGGCTCTTATGCATAAACCTGTGCAAGGGGTTTACCACACAAACATATAAGGACACATCCCATGATCCTCCCTGTAACGGATCGCCTGGCACCCCGACTGGGTACCTCCGTTAAAGGATGCTCCTAGCGCTTCCTGAGGACTCCAAGCACTGCAGCAGACACCACAACCACCGAACCGGAGAAGCATATGAATCCTCTCAAGCATATGAATGCTGTAGACAGTTGAATAGGAACCATACGAATAGGTTTACTCTCCTAGCAGTCAAACTGGAACAGCATACAATAAATCCTTCCCCCAATAATGAGACGACACTTCACTTTGAGGGTTAAAACAGGAACTCCCTGTACTGTCACATACAGTCTCTTTTATTCCCAATCCACAAACATAGTACAGCCCACAGGGCGTTACAAAACAACCAATCAATCCGTACAATACACCCAGACACTCCCACACAAAATCCTCCCTCTGCAGGTGATATGATTACTGAACACAATGGGTAATCTCATTATCACCGGCAGAGGAATACAGTTTTTACACAATATTTATAACTTCTAAAATATACATGTCACAAACATAAAACATACATTTTCATAATCAATCCATTCAGGGGAACAACATATTAAAAAATGGCACGAATCAGACCAGGGGTTCAAAAGTTAAGGGAAAGTCCTTTGTGACTAAATGAAGCATGGCTTTCTGGCCCAAACCAGTTTCAGAGTCTTCTATCCTGGAGAGTAATTCAATTATCTCCCAGGATAGACACAAGACTCCATTAAGCACATGGTTGCAAAAAGACACAAAACACTTTAAAATACATAAAGTCACATTTACACATAACACACAGACATTTCACATATCCCCAGATAGCTGGGATCTGAGTGCACATTATTAGATGAATGGCACTCAGATCACACAAATAAGCCTTTCTGCAGGGGAAATAAACGGTTTAACCTGCAGGGCCATAGTCCAAAGGGAGCAGGCGAGCAACCAGGCTTCTCCAGTTCACAGTGGCGAGGTTGGTTTCGCCACACTTCTCCCCTTTACCAACTAGACTAACAGGGTATCTGACCTCCTGCCGGTCAGTGCCCTGGTTAGTCCAGCAACCCACCCACAAAACAGAAACAGCAGTACAGCCCACCCACAATAACTGGTTACTACACCTGGGTAGAGGAGAACTTTGTCCATGTCCAGGTGCCTCACCACGACTGTGTGGGCAACTGTTAGGCTGCCTTGGTGGGTTGCTGAGTGGGCAGAGACCAGCGGTACTCTGCCCTGATGCCAGTGCTACCACGG